ATTTTATTTATATTAAATACTAAAAAATTTCCCTTCCTTTCTAAATCCATCCTGTAAAACCTTCGGGAAACTTGTCGGTGACTAATAACAAAATATCATATACAACTTTGAACTTTATAATACAGCAGGAGCCATTTATAAAATATATTAAGATGTCTGAGGTGAATAGGGCCTGTAATGCAGATAGAATAAATTGATCGAACTAGAAAAACTGGTCTATCTACTCCAGAACAAGGTTTCTTGATAACACCGCTGAAGACATAAGAAATATGGGAATACGCACTTGGTGATGGAAAGGGGCGATTGAAGAAAAATTCTTGAGGAGTCTAGGACCCATGCAGGATTGTAAAGCCAGAATGATAATGATGGACAAAGATCTATGATATATTATGTTATAACCAACAGAAATATACATCCATCAAAAATACTATACGGAAGATATCTCAACTCAGCAGATGTTGGTAGCGACCATAGCCTAAGTATTATGTAAAATAACAATCTTCATGAAATACTTCACACCCAAGAGAGCGGCACCAACAAAAATCAGAGTCGAAGGACTAAATACGGAATTCACAGAATACTTATATAGAAAAATAATATCGGAGATAACATTAAGGAAAGCTGGGAAACCTGAAAAGTATAATTACCGCACTAACAGAATCACTTGCGAGAGGAAAGTAACGAACAATAACATATCAAAAAAGAAAATCTCATGGTTTAGAAAGGAAGTGAAGATAAAATGTGAAGAAAAGAAGAAAGCATTTTTACAATACAGAACACAACAATTATACAACTTAGTCAGATAAATAAAAAGAAATATGGAGAATGATCAAAGAACAAAGAAAAAAAGATAAACTAACTAAAAAAATGAAAAACATTCAGAAAGAAACGTGGACAGACTACTCTTAATTTCTTAATATTTGCTAAAGGTGACGATAACGAATCACCATCAGTGACGAGAAATAAACATTGAGGAGGGAGAAGTGAAGGAAGTATTAAGGAAATAAAAAATAAAAAACCGCCAGGAAAGGATAGCATACCGAATGAATTCCTATAGCACGGAGGACCAGATCTGACCAAACAACTATTAAAACCAATCCAAAAAATAATAGATCAAAACAGAGTATCACAAGAATGGAGATCAAGCATCCTAATACCTTTCTTCAAAAAGAGAAACAAATTGGACTCTGAGAATTACCAAGGAATTAATTATTAAATACAACACTAAAATTAACGACCAAAGTAATTGCAATAAACTGAACGAATTTACAACACTGGCAAAAGAAAAACAAGGTTTTAGGTCGGGAAGATCATGCACCGACGTTATATTTATAATGAGACAAGTGCAGGGGAAACTATTATTATATAACAAACCGGCATATTTGTTTCTTTGAAATTAAGAAGGCAATTGATAGGGTTAAATCAAACGACGTTATCTACTTATTGTATTTAAAGATCTTTAGGAATAATCAAATGATCGAAAATATTTACCAGAACAACACAGTAAAAGTAGAAGAAGAACTAACTGAACCAATCAAAGCTGACAAAGGGATAAGACAGAGGGGTTCCCTGAGTCATCTATTGTTCAACCTGATCATGGATGAAATGATAAGAACAGTAAAAACTAAGAATGGATACCAAATGGGAGAAACAGCTTAAAATAATCTGCTATGCAAACGCCGCAGTACTAATCTCTTGAAGTGAAGATGATTTACAAAGTATGCTGCACCAATTTAATATAACCGCTAGAAAATTATGTTAATTTCCCCAAAATAAAGTACACGGTTATAACAGCATATCTACTAAGATGTAAAAATAAGATAAGATGTCAGAGAATAGATCAAGTGATGTAGTTTAAATATCTAGGAATCACACTATCTAGCTACAGACAGCTCGAGACAGAAGTAGATCAAGTGAGCAAACAAAGCCGCAATTTGCCTGAATGAAACAATATGAAGAAATAAAAATATCGGGAATGAAATGAAAGGCAGGATTTGCAAAACAGTCATCAGACCAATAATGGCATAAACACGACCTGACACAGAGAGGACAAAAAGTAGACGTTAGAAACACACCAGAGATGAAAACACTTGGAAAAATTGATGGTAAAACACTATGGGACAGAGCTAGAACTACAAAAAATATACGGCGGAGATGCAAGGTGAAGAACATCAAGGAATCTGTAAAAAATAGAAGAGTAGATTGGAATGATCAGAGAGGCTTAATGACAACAGAGAAGGAAAGACGGTGAGACACGGTTCCTTATTAGGAATACCACGAAAACGATGGAATGACGACTTACTGGAGGCACATTGAAAAAAAGGCAGTCATGTGTACACAAAATGAAGAAAACAAAATACATGTAGTCGCTAACCTTATCAAAATACACGATTACAAATAGATGGACAACCAATACAAAGAGTATCAGTAAGAGTATGTCAATTTTAAATATCAAGGTTGTTATTTTACCGAACAATAATTTCCAGATAAAGATGTAAAATGTAGAATTGGTTTGTGCTTTTTAAAATGAAGTCACTCTTCTAGGATTATAGCTTAAAACTTCGGAAACGCATCATTAAATGTTAAATGTGGTCAGTTGTCTTATATGGTGTCGAAGCGTAGACATTAAAAATATCCACTATTAATTGGTTAGAGGCTGGAGAACGAACTGATGGAATAAACGAACACAGAAAATACCGTGGACGGCGAAGCAGTTCTCAACAGAGCAGAAGCTTCTAGTCAGCTGATTGATAGCGTCAAATCGGAGAGTGGAACAATTATTAAGAATAGTTCAAGACAGCGAGAGTCTTGTCACGTTAATCGTCATCATCAAGGGAACTTAATAAGCACGTTAAGAATAAGAGGCTAATTGTAGCCAAAAGTTAGTAACGTACAAATTGTAAAACAGCTAAGTGTAAGCCAATTTGCAACGAATTGTGAGGTTGTGTTAGAATTAAAATGACATTGAATCAAATTGGAAGCTGAAGGAGACTGAAAACACAGCATTACCAAAAAAAAAAGAAAAATTAATTATTTAACTTGCTGATCTGGTATTTATATAATACAATACCGTACTAACGTGTAAACAAAATATTCAGAAATCTGGCAAGAAAGACATTAAATACTTCAACATTGAATACTTCATTGAACAATGGTTTGGCTTTGTTTGGACTTCTATTAAAAGATAGAAAAAAAGAAATATAAGCAACAAGACAGAGTTAAACAATATGAGTATTATCAAAATCAACTATGGCAATATTAACAAGTTACTAAAACGCTTTACATGACAAAAATGATAAATATCACGTATTTGAAGTTCTTTTATTATTACTGAAGTCGAAGTACATTCTTGAGAAATATATACTGAAAATTTCAAGAGTCGTGTAATATAAGTATTGATAAAATAAGTTAACAAAACACACGATTCTTAGTGTCATCTTTAAGAAAAAAGAAGTTTCAACTTTCCTTTTTTTGTCTTATGATATTTTAACCAACTTCTAACGGAATTCTTTCATGTTAACAGGGGCCGGAGACAAGATTGTTTGCGAAAATTATATCAACTTTAAAACAATGGTTTAAAAAATGTAATAAAATGAAAAAACAAATCGGGGAAAGTAATATATCCACCTAATTATTAGCTGACCTCGGGTTGTGCTAGCAGATGTTGAAGACGCTAGATATATAGTTCGGAAATTTTTGGATAAATGTAATAGGTGGGGTCTAGAAATAATAACAGGCAAAAGGAAATACATGGCAATAGGCTGACCAGCGAACGATTTAGACGTAGAAGGGATAATACCAACATACCAAATGAATATAAATATCTGGGAGTAGAACCGATTCTAGTTAGTCAGCCACCCGCGCGCAAAGACGTAATGTGCCCCTCCCCCTATAGAGACATTTATATTTGTATTAATACTTAACGATGACATAAACTCATCTAACCGTCTAAGAATAAAAAGTAAAACAATAATAAAAATGCAAATAAAATTTAAATCGCAAGTATTTTTTGGCCTGCCAGGTTGTAATAGTGAAGAAGAATCGCTAAGCTTACACAAATATGTGAGTTTTAAAATAGCTAGCAAAAGACAGAAATGGAAAGATTAGGGTACAAATCTAAGATGTTTAAATGAGGAGGTTTTTGTAGATGCGTTTGGCTTGATTGGTCCGGGATGTGCGTGAGTTGATTAAGGGTCTTAGTGCTGCATTGGAGTTGGCTCGTGTAAGATCAAATACGAGATATGCGGCTTGAACATCTGAGGACAAATTGCATGAGGGTAAGAAAGGAGTATAAGTGGTTAATAAGAGTGCAAGCAGGAGATTCGGAAGAGAGAATAAATGAATTAAAGCGAATGGAGAATGAATACAGGAATTTCATAAAAGATCTAAGAGAGAAAAGTGGAGTAACCTGCTTCAGATTCTCGAAAAGTATATCTGGGGACAGGGCTTCCAGATTGTCTGTACCGAATTGAAGGGGAAAAAGACACCCTACCCACTGTCTGAGGAGGAGAAACTTCGTTTAATACGAAAACTCTTTCCTCAGGTAGAGGATAGACGTAAAAGAGTTACTGGTTTCATAGAGGCCGAACCTTTTACTGCGACAAAGCCTACGGCAAGTCCAAAGATTCCTTGTTGCTTTAATGGAGATATATGCGAGATGAGCATTTCACCTAAGATTAACATATTCTAAGACTGATAGTTCAATTCATGGTCCGAGGTTTATTTGATCACCAATAACATTTATGCTTACTTCTAATCACTATAACTAGATATACTGTATAGCTCAGAGCACAAAATCGTTCACTTTTAAGCTTTGTTTGTTTGTGGTAGGTAAGTATATTCCTAGTATCTCTTGGGCTATATCTATGGGGGCACACAATGCCACTTCTTTTGACGAGATGGCATTTTGAAGATCTTTAACTAAACAATGCAAGGCACTGTATGTATTACAAAGTATCTAAAAAAATTGTTTAAAAAGAGAATAATAGTCTTATTTGTCTTTACATATTTATTTAACAGAAAATAAACAAATGAAATGGTTTTGTAATTGATTTGTATGAAATCAGTTTCGGCTGAATTTTCACGTTGAGTAGTAAAAGTGTCCAATGTCATCCACAACCTGCAAAAAAGTAATGTTGCTGTCCTTCTCAGATTTGGTGGTACAAAATATATCGTATTTCTTTGTACTTGAAAAAAGTATGTTGCTAAATAGGTATACTTTATTACTATTAGTTCTTCTTTGGCTTTATCTTTCTCCAAGGGCATTCAGGTTGTTTAGATTAGTACAATATTAGCAATCTGTAAAAAAATAGTAACATTAGTTTTTTAAGTTTGCTGTGTAGTACAGGAGTCGTTAATAATCATGAATAATAAATATTTTTAATCCAAAAGTTCTGTGGAAATTTTCAACACGTTGATGCACAGTAAAAAAAAGTTAAGTGGATCAAAATATTAAACACGTTTACAATATTAGTTTATGTATTTTAAATAATTATTCTTCAGTTTGAGTACAAAATTTTACATTTTTATTGGTTTTTAGAATTATTTTAATTAGAAGCACACGTGCATTTCGTGACCACAAATAACTGTTGGATTCATGGAGCCATGTGATGCACACTTGCTTCGCTTCTTGTATACGATAAGAATGAACCTATCGTAACTTGTTTATTTTATACGTTACATTTTCTAGACGAATGCACTACGTGTTACTTATTAGTTAATTGTCGGTGGGCGAAGTAGTACAGTATATCTTATCAGTTCTCAATATGGCATATGAAACTGAGCAGAATAGTTTGCAAAAACTGGTGGAAGAGTTTTTTCAGACGAAGACAGTGATAATAGTGTTCGGGATAAAAATTTTGAATTAGGTATGAGTGATGAGTGAAGTATTTATTCGTCAAATGAAGGTATTCCAGAAAAGAAAAAAAGAAAAATTCAAAGTAATTTACAAACTGTAATGTTTTTTTTTTTGTAATGATTCACAGTTCCTCTTAGGAAAATGATCGATTTCGTATATTTTACTTAATACAGATTTTAAAGTTGGAGCCCTATTTTCCAAGAAAAACGAATGTACAGTTCTACGCAGGGCATTTTTTGCGTTTTCATGATACATTTTGGCCCGGACTGATTTGTATTTAGAGGTTAACATTTCTCAGTTTTTTCCCACACATTACGTTTAATTGTAGCCTCTGATAATCCTGTTAAAAACGAACAGGGTTTCATCCTTTAAAGGTTGTTTTTTTTTTAGAATACCATATATCTTCCGTTCATATACCTTCCAAAAAAAACTTTTGTACCATTTGGTACATCCAGTTTTTATCAGCAAAAAATGGAATATATACTGCAAGTCGTCTTACTTCAACATAATAGTGGTGGCCTATTTCACTAGCTATATTAAGGGCTTAACAAGCTGCAGGGTTCAAGTTCCCTAACACCAGAAATTTTTCAATTTATAATTTAATTGAACCGTGCTTTAAGTCATGTTAGCGGCGCTTGAGCGACTTGAAAATCCTAACACCAGACTTTAGCCACAGGGTTACGCGAACTTTACTTTCGTTTACTTCAACTTAATATTTGTTGGAATATATGCAATAAATGACAATGGGAACAATGGGATGAGGGAAAAACAATATTTTTTCAACGCACTAAACCAGGGGTGTCCAACTTGCAATGCCTCAAGGGCCAAAACTAAAACCTTGCATGTTGTCGCGGGCCATATAATAATTTTGTTACAAGTAATAACAAAATAAAGTGAGGTATAAAAATAATTAAAACAAAAAAGAGTATTATTTCTTTTATTGCTCAACAACTATATTTTTTTATAAACGGAAAATTTATTGATAACACTTTTCAATAATCAAGACAAACATTGCAAAAGCAACGAAAAAGATGTATCCAATTAGTGTGAGGACTGTGGTCGATCGGCTTCATCCACCAATGAAGAAATGTCCACCTCCAGTTCAGTTGTAGATACTCTCATAAGATGACTTAAGGAAGAATCGGTAAGGTTGCTTCTGTTTTTATTTTTTATGTATTTCATGGAGGAAAAGGCACTTTCACATGTATAAGTGCTTCCAAACATTGACGTCATTTTCAGTCCAAAATCTCGCAGGTTTGGGAATTTCTCCTTTGACAATAATTTGAAAAATTCAGGTCCCTTTTCTTGTCTGGTGATTAGGAATATGTCTGCTTGAAGATCACATAACTCAAGCTGTAAGTTGGGTGGTTGATCATCAATGGTTGCTCCAAGAGGGTTATTATAAAGTAGTACACTACTTTTGAGACTTTCAATTTCTTCAAATCTTGTATTGAATTCATCAATAACTTGTTCAATTTGTGAAATGCAGGATGAAAACTCAATATTTTTCCTCACCGTTGAATTCTTCTGCTATTTGCAGACAGCTAGGGAAGTGTGTCAGGTTGTTATTTTCCAAAGCACGTTTAAACACGTTCAGCTTATTCCGGAATCCGTTTATCATTCCGATCAAATCTGAAACCGTCTGGTTTCTTCCTTGAAGACTCAAGTTTAACATGTTAAGATGATTAGTCAGATCTGTTATAAAAGCTAACTGTCTTAAGAATTCTAGATCCTTAAACTTCTCTTCCAGTTCAGTTGTGTCAGATGAAACGTATTTGTTGAGGAATGCAGGGATTTCCTTTCTTATGGCAAAAAATCGTTCCATGCACTTTCCTGCACTCAGCCACCTTACATGGTTGTACATTAGCAAGTCTCCATACTCAGCCTCTGTTTCCACTAAAAACTGCTTAAGTTGCCTGTGTAAAAGAGATCGATTTCCACCTCTAATCATATTTATAATCTTAATCACGGTTTGGAAAACTTGATCTTCCTTGACTGATTTTCCACATAAAGCTCCCTGGTGTATAATACAATGAATTGTTGGGCAAGTGACACCATTCTCTCGAAGCAGACCCACTAATCCAATTTTTTTACCTGTCATTGATGGGGCCCCGTCTGTTGCTATGGCTGAACATTTATCAAAGCCTCCAATTCTGTCAACTGTTTTCTTCACAGCCTCATAGATGTCTTTTCCTTTCGTTGTTCCATAAAGAGGACAAATATCAAATAACTCCTCTTTACTGGTAAAATCATCAAAAGTAGTGCGCACAAATATTAACAGCTGACTAACATCGGTTTGATCAGTGCTTTCATCCAAACAAAGTGAGAAATATGAACTTTTCTTAACCAGGCTAAGCATAGATTTTTCTACTTGCTCACCCATAGCAACAATCCTTCTTTGTATGGTTTGATGTGAAAGTGGCACTGATTCAAATTTCTCCGCCATTTTAGAATCACCGAAAGCTTTGGCCATTTCAACAGCACATTTTTTTATCAAATTGCCATCAGTGAAAGGTTTTCTTGCCTTTGCCAGCTCAAGCGACACGGCATAAGATGCATGCAAAGAATGCGTTTGAGAGTGTAATATTTTACTGAACATACCAGTTTGCTGTTTAAGCTTTTTCTTCAAATCTGCAACTAGCGCACGCCGACTTTCATTTGTGTACGTAGCATACTTATTTTCATGCACTGTTGTGTAATGTCTTCTCACATTATATTCTTTAGGCACTGAAACGACATTCATGCATACTAAGCACTGCAACTTTCCATTATTGTTAGCAATCAAGTAATCACTCTCCCAACTTTCTTTATAAATTCTGTTCTCACTATCAATTTTCCGTTTTATTGGTTTTACGCTCATTATTGTATAAGAGGAAGCAAGACAAATAATTAATCAAGTTCACTGTTAGCAGCACAATGCCACGATAGCAGAGAACTACGAACACTGCGTTCGTAGTTCTCTGACGATAGCGGCTGCCGACGGATGGTAAGCAGTGGGGAGGTGTGACCTGCGTGAACTGTGATGCACAGTAATCAGTGCAGTTCTCATAGTGGTGGAGGACGATTGTGTTCGGTAATACACGTCCGCGAAGCGGCACGCTGTACAGTACTTGTGATTTAAAAACACAGCTAAACCATAAAATATAAAATAAATTAAAAAATCTTTTTTTACAGTGGCATTTAAAGAAAAAATATGCTTTTCGAAAATCTTACGTGGGCCACAACAAATAGCCTCGCGGGCCGAATGCGGCCCGCGGGATGCCAGTTAGACAACCCTGCACTAAACGATGTATCACATAAGGCAAAGGAAAAAAGATATTCTTCGAATTGGAGATTTTGGAAGATGAGGATATAGTGGGACGATTCGAAAAGACATAATTAGAAACGACAATGGAAGTCGGCTAATTGAAATATGTCAAGAATGCGAGTTAACCATAACCAACAAAAGATTTCAGTAAAAAATACATATATACACATGGGAGGAACCTAGTAGAAACCAAAGATCAATTATTGATTTAATAATAGTTAGAAAAGCAAGCAAAATAATAATACGGGATGAAAGATTATACAGATAAGCAGAATGTGCAAGTAACCACCGACTATTACTAGGGAAATTCATAAACACAGAAAAACGACAAAAAGACTCTATCCAGAGACATGAGGAGATGCAGAAAATCGCAAATAAGAAATAAAGTAGAACTTCTACAACAATTTAATATTCGAACACAGAATAGTCTACAGCATATTCCGTAGATAAAAGAAGAATGAACCCACCAGAAATGTATCGACACCTAAAGGAAAAAATAAACAAAGCGGCAAACGAAGTGCTAGGCATTGAACAAAAGAACAATAAATATTTGGTGAAATACAGTGACGATCTAGAAGAGATTGTTAAAATGAAAAAAGTACGTTTCATAAATGATTACACGACAGAACCCCAGAAACACAAGAATATGTTAACCTCAGACAACAAGCAAAAAAAAGAACAAGACTCGTGAAAAGCGAATACTAGGGGAGAATGTACAAAGTCATAGACAACACAGGTCAACGGAAACATGGAAAAAAATAAAAAAACAGAAGTAACAAACGAAGTAAAAATATTTACAGATGATTACATCAAAAGAGTGGACAATGCATTACACAAAATTATTGCAGGAAAATAGACCGAAGCATATCTAACAAGACCCTGTGACAAAAATAACAGAAGAAACCGAAATCGCAGAGGAATATATAATTAATGCGCTAAAGAAAGTCAAAAAACAAAGTATCAGGACCAGGGAACATAAAAATGGAACTCCTGAAATATGGAGGTGCAAGGATCGTATCATTTATACGAGTGTTATTCAATAAAATAGAAGTATGAGAAGAGATTCTAGAGGAATGGATTCTATCATATAAAAATTCTATGATTTCCAAAAAATACCTTCAATAGCAAGAATATTTTCCACAGTAATAAAAGAAAAATAGAGCAACACATGGACCATTATGGCGAAGAACAAGCCGGATTCTGAAAAGCCAGATCATTTCTAGATAATATATTCATCATGAGACAGTTAATAGAAAAGAACGTTAATAGAAAAGAAACGCATCATATAAAAGCATATGATAGCGTTTACAGGAAACAACTATGGGAAGCAATAAGAAAAATGTAGTTAGAAAGAAATGGGTGAATATAGCACAATATAAAAAACAGATGTGCAAATAAAGTTAGACAATAAAATATCAAAAACAATCACCGCAACAAAAGGCCTCAAATAGAGATGTGGTCTATCACCTACATATTTTAACATGGAATTTTAACCCATGGCAGGGATGTTTGGTGTCTTTTCAAACCCATCTGAATGGTGTACATCCCAGTATTCATTTAACGAAGGAGGTGGAAACTGATTCATCCCTATCGTTTCTCGACGTTATCATAAAGAAAAACCAATCCCAAGGCTTTCATCACTCTGTTTATTTAAAACCCACCCATATCAATCGTTACTTGCATGCCAACTATCATCATCCACCTTTACAAATTCATTCAGGCATTAATATCCTTGTCTACCGATTAATACCCTTTGCGATGATGCAAGTAGCCCCACTGAGCCCTCTAGTTTAAGAGAAGCCTTCATCCAAAACAGTTACCGAGAAAACAACATAAATAGGAGCATCCACAGATATCAATCTCACACTCAATCTCAACCCAAAGAGTCAGACCCTCATCAATATCAAAGTTGTCATTGACAAAATCAACAAAATTCTTAAATCAAGAGGAATAAAGACACAATTTACCAACCTGCAAAACCTTTTATCTCTTGCCCGATCAATAAAAAACAACATTCCAAATGAACAACACGGCGTTTATGAAATTCCTTGTGCAGACTGCCCTCGAACTTATATAGACCAAACATTCGATTTCTGTTCGCAATACCGATTCAATTTAAATTAGAGATCCAATTTGGAGATAAACCAAGAATCATCAGAGAAGCCATACAAATTAAAAAAAAGGAAAAATTGTCTCAATAAAAGAGATGGTTACCTTCCACATGTAGACCTCTCATAAAAAGATATCGTCCGCTCCACCCGCCAATCAAAATCCTGTCAGAAATATTCGCGCCAATTTCCACGCTAACCCCCCACCAACCACCACCCAAACTACGTCAGCATCGACGGTATAAATTAACCGTTCTCTGTCCCCAGTAGCAGTAATGAATTGGTTAGTGATAAGTGTAATGGTATCTGGGGACTCGGGCGACTGAGACCTCGGAAGCCCTGAAGAAGACATCAAAGAGGATGTTGAAATCTCGGCGCAATGATAATTGACGTGGTTCAACCTGGAAGACTATTTAATAGGAGTTTAATATTAAAATAATACATTACTATATTTGGGTAAAACTAATAATTTACTATATTTGGGTAAAAACTTCCTTTGATGAGTTTACAATTTGATTAAACATAAAGAGTCAAAATAAAAACGTAAAAAGAGCTATACATTAGTTTTTTTTACAAGTACAAAATGATTATATTATAAATACATTGCCGAACATAAAATTAGGGTCACCCCGTAATTTGAATTGATTATAGAAAATTATTATTTTTTTCAACTATTTTCGGTTGTAACATAATTTACTAACAGATTGCTTAAAGAAAACAAATTTTTTTCCTTCAAAGTTTATTGGAAGTAATGAAAATTAACAAACAGTATTTGATATACTATTGACAATTTTAATTTGATGTGCTTTTTGTTGAAACAAAAGAAATTTTAAGAACTTCAATAGCGAGTAGTCCCTCTTCTGGCAGTGATAACTGCTTGCAAACGACGAGGCATGCTTTGATAAAATTTTGGATCATATTCTATGGATGATTGTCCCATTCCTGCATCAATACTTCGCAATGCTTTCCTCAATTTCTGACGGTCAGCATATGACTAGTAAACGCCTTTTCATCTTATCCCAAATATGCTCTATGGGAATAATACCTGGACTGCAAGCTAGCCAAGCAAGGTCAGTAACTATCCGTAGTATCCAAGAATAACCATTAACGGTAAAATATGGTCTTCTATAATCTGTAGCAGGTACCTAGGTGCAGTCAATGTTCCGTTCTCGATAAAGACTAACTCCGTGCGAGCGTCAAACGATATGCCTTTCCATGCCATAACTGACACTAAATGGAAGTCGCTTGGCAATACATGCTTAAGCATATCTCTCGCCTGGACGTCGCCACACTCCTACGGATTTCGATTCATCCTAAAACAATATACGACACCATTTCTGTATTTTCCAAGCCAAGTGTTCTCGTGCAAAATTCAATCTGGCAACTCGGTGTTCACAGGAAAGAGGCGGTCTAGTTACTCTAGTTCGAGAAGGTAAACCAGGAGCATAAAGTCCCCTCCTAAGTGTTCATTCACTTACATTTACATTTCTCACTTCTTGCAGATGATTTCGAAGGGAAACGGCCGTGACCGTTTGGTTTTTCAAAGAACTAGAAACGACAAAGCGGTCATCTCTAGCCGTTGTAATTCTGTCTCTGTAATTCTTTAATTAGGATAAGGGGCCCTATTTATCTCAAAGGCTTATCGAAAGACTAACAACAATTTTTTTTCAAGCAATCCATTAATACACTATGTTACAACCGAAAATAGTTAAAAGAGACGAATAATTTCTAAATAACTTCAAATTATGGGGTGATCTTAATTATATGCTCTGCGCTGTATATGACAATATAATACGTCATAAATAATCAGTTTGACATAACGTGTCAGATTATTTTTTCATACTAAAGCGTGAGACAAATATTTGCAAATAGAAAACTCTAATCCTGTATACGGCACTATAGTAACAACACGTTCAGCGCAGCAAATTCACAAATAATTTGAATCATATATATATATATATATATATATATATATATATATATATATAATATATATATATAAACAAATATGTCTATATTCTTGATCGCTTACCTGATTTCTAATAGCCCCGACACCTGTTTAAACATCACGCAGGCTTTCTACTGAGGTGGATTCTTTGGCACTGTCATATTCATTATCACTATCGCCCGAGTTCCAATCTTTAATTATGCCAACCACTGAACTAAAGTGAAAGAAAACAGTTTAAAACAGTAATAGAATAAATATAATAGACTTAAATAAGTTTTTTCTAAATTTTCTAACTAAAATAATTTCTAAACTGTACTGAAAGAAGAATAAATAAAAGGATAAACGACCTTGCTTAATGCTCCCCTAAATATAGTTCCCGAATGTAGATTAAACAGGAACGGAGAAAGAACACAGTCCTGTCTTATTCCTCGTCTAATCCGTATATTGTTACTGACTGAACTGCTACCAATTAGTGCCAGTCTAGTGAATATACAAATATTTTCCCAATAAAAATTGTCTAAACAATTTTAGAAATGAAAGACGTTCTCCAAATTATTTTTATGTAATCATAAAATATCAGACAATAATGTAAGAGAAGAGACATAATATAATATCCACAAGGAATCTAAGTTCCTGTAGTTGGCTGTATACCATGTATCACAAAAAATTTATTAAAAATCCTTTATAAAAGGTATATAATTTAAAAAACCCAATCGGGCTATACCACAAAACGTTTTCGGAATCCATGTTCCATCATCAGTGTCTAGGTGTTGAGCCACTAAATACCTGGGTAAAAACCCGTTAAAAGTTATATGTTTAAATTTAGTTTATATTATATGGCATCGTATTAGGATATTAAAGTTACCAGTGGATTTAGTAACATGGCGACGTATGAGTCCACGTGAAGTTGCTGGTCTTGAGACAAAGTGTCCACGAGGACTTGATCATCAGGGACTTTGTATTGTCCATATTCCAATATAAGGTGCTGCAAGTCTCCCACTTTACCACAGGAGCAATATGGGTTATCAGTGATACCTACGCTGTGTTTGTATTCAGGAGTGAGTATGTGGTTTGATCTTATTCTATTTATTGTTTTATAAATAACCTATTTGTCTCATATTTAAATAATCTCTCACTGGGAATTAGTGGTTGTCAAGTTCTAAAGTTTATTCCAGTTTTACTTTGGTTGTATAAACAATTTATATATATATATATATATAATATATATATATATATATATATATATATATATATAATATATATATATATATATATTTTACAATTATTGCTATTTTTTCAACAATAAACATTAAATTTTCAATTTCTAGCTAACGAAATATTTTGTAAAATTGAATAACAAAACTTTTAACTTCTTTAATTTCTAATAATTTTTTCTCTAGGATCGATATTCTCCGAATTACAAACGAATGTTCTTTTGCTGTAGGTTTGTTAATTTGTAGACTGTATCTAGTTTCAATTAATTGTTTATACAACATGATCTCAGAATGGTCGGTCAGATAGCTCAGCGGGCTGTGCGGCTGCCTCTCATTCGCTTCACTGTCGAATGGTTTAGTGGATGTGGGTCGAGCCCAAGCTCGGTGTACAGAAAACAAAAAGTCTAACGCAGCAGTTTAAAATTCTAGATGAATCTGCGGCTTAGACTAGGATATGCTGGGTTCTGATCGGCCTATGGTGGAGCAGTACGGCAAGAGATAAGGGCTTGCGGCTCGGTGATACTCCTCCATAGATCCCTACCGGACGGGCGTAACGCCTAAAAAAAACCGGATATATATATATATATATATATATATTATATATATATATCTCAGAATGTCCATTGTAGTAAGTTTTTTTACACATTTAAGATCATTGACTGCTACATGTCTTTTTGAGGTAACACAATTGTATTAACTTTTCTATGGATGTTTGGTTTTTCAGACTGTTCTTTTTAGATGAACTGATGATACTATCTGATTAGACAGCCAAACGTCTTCAATAAATAGATAAAGTAGCCACCTTCTTTGTCTTGTTTCTCCACCTTTTGACCGAAAAACCCACCATATATATATAATATATATATAATAATATAATATATATATATTATATATATATATATATAATATATATATATATAGATACGTGGCTAGATATTTTACACAATTTATGACTGGAAATTCTATTTTTCCTAATTTCAAGTCTCTCAAACATCATCTGCAAACTGTAATATATTAGAGTGTGGAGGTACTCTGTTCTAGATCTATATTGTATAATGAAAAGAGAAGTGGACTTAAAATACTACCCTGTGGTATACCCATATTTGTTAGACTTGGCGCTAAAAGTTTCTCATTTATTTTTGAGTAAGTCTATCTATGCTTGTACAAGGATAGAATGAAATTTGAAATTTTAACTGACATTCCAAGATAAAGTGAAGTCGTTTTACCCTGTCGTATTTCGGATTAACGCCCGAAAAATAATTTATGACTATAGTTACAGTCACTCTGTTATGCTTTCCCTTTTCTACCTGCTTTGTGGTACCGAACCTCCTACTGGTCGGCTGTAGTACTTGAGGATAAATCAGGCTACCAAAACAATTTTTTTATAAATCGTGAAAAAACGCAGCGTTCGTTGAATGCTTTGTGATGATAATTTATTAAAAAAACTTTTATAGTTTTATTTCAAATAAAATTGCCTCGAGGAGTGTTGCAGTTTCGCAACTGTATATAAACATTTGTAAATGTATTAACAGACTTTTTAATAGTTTCTATTCTCCTCGTATATTTTAAACCAGATTTTCGTGTAAGTGACACAGCCGTTTTAAGGGCTAAAGATTGCAAAGCGGGCCATCTGCGAAATATCAGCACATGTGTGTGTACCTAAAATAAGAGTTTGCGTTCCATACCAAACCAGAGTCGAAAAGTATCTCTCAAACGATGAACATGTGTATGTGAACAATGTGAGGACGAAGAGTACCTGATTCCGCACCGGCCAAGAAAGACGCTAATGTGCATCACAAAACTTTGGTAGTTGAAGTGTCGCTGAAGACATAATTTGCGATAGCGTTGGGGCTATCTTTTTCATGGGGTAAGGAACAATACACCATATTAATTAGTTGATGCATATATCAAGTACGTGCATTTGGTATATTTATTTGATATTTGGAACTTCATCGCATTTGTGCCGCGATCCGCGATTGAACATTGTCAATTGGACATTTTGCATTTGTTTCGGTTTATTTACTATATTCTTATTTTTGTATTTTGTTAACACCGATTTTATTTCTTGTATGTTTTCTATTAATAATTGTACTTATTAATTATTTTTATGCACCGCATTCTCAATTTGTTTTTACAACGTTAAAATATTATATCCTTATTTAGGTCGATTTCTTGTAAGATTATTAATTTATCTTTTATCTTTTTATGTACAGTATGTTTGCGGCTATGGTAGCTTTTGTCTTTTTTTTTGTCAGTGGTTTTTTATAGAATCGACATTTTTGTTTTGGTTGGTTTATGGTTGTCTTTTGGTATGTCTGTTGGTGTGTTTCATAGTAGCTAATAGTTTATATATATATATATATATATATATATATATATTGTTATGATATTAAAATCAAGAAAATATCGGTTTGTTTAAAATATTTCAAAATTCAAAAACATTAAAATAATTGAGAAAGTATACCCAACAAACATTTCAAAGAAGGAAAATATTTAAAATTTTGGATTACCTGTAATTAAACAAAATGTACTATGCATAAATTATTTCTTTTGTTATACTATACTTGAGTGACCCGCATAATTTTAAGTGAAATCCAAAGAACAATTGAACCGGGTTTTCCAAATACATTAACGCAGCGATTATAGACAATAGAAGAGATTTGGAAAGATGTTTTTGTTAGTTTTTAAGAATTATAGAAAAATATTATTTGTAAATAAGTTTTAGGAAATTTTATAATTATAGGTAAAAATTTGTTTGTTATCGGAATGAAAGAATGGGGAATTGTGACGAGTTTTGATTGGCGGAGATTAAAAAAGGTGGGAGGTATGTAGGAATGAACGTTTAGCTAGATTTCGGAGTGAGAAAAGATAGTTAGTTGGTTCCAAGGTGCAAGGCGAACGCCGTTGTTCTCGGTAGTTTCCCAGAGGTCGGAAGCAGAAGCAGTGAAAGTTTGTGAGTTTTCGTGTAGTTAGTGTATCTGACAGAAGCTGATCCAGTAAAATATTGTAAGTCATATTTTTCTACTTATATTCCAAGAGTCACTGTTCAGGCCAACGAGAGATTCAGTTTATCGTAAAGAAAAGATATTCCAAGAGTCATTTTTCACTCAGGCCAACGAGAGATTCAGTTTATTGAGAGAAGAAGAAGCTAGCATAATTTGAACGATTCGTGCATTTGAAGGAGATCATTAAGGACGAGATACTTGCAATAATTTATTGTAAGATTGCTGATTACTTAGGGAGCGGCCACGAGTAAATAGTATAGGAATGAACGTTTAGCTAGATTTCGGAGTGAGAAAAGATAGTTAGTTGGTTTCCAAGGGTGCAAGGCGAACGGCCGTTGTTTCTCGGGTAGTTTCCCAGAGGTCGGAAGCAGAAGCAGTGAAAGTTTGTGAGTTTTCGTGTAGTTAGTGTATCTGACAGAAGCTGATCCAGTAAAATATTGTAAGTCATATTTTTCTACTTATATTCCAAGAGTCACTGTTCAGGCCAACGAGAGATTCAGTTTATCGTAAAGAAAAGATATTCCAAGAGTCATTTTTCACTCAGGCCAACGAGAGATTCAGTTTATTGAGAGAAGAAGAAGCTAGCATAATTTGAACGATTCGTGCATTTGAAGGAGATCATTAAGGACGAGATACTTGCAATAATTTATTGTAAGATTGCTGATTACTTAGGGAGCGGCCACGAGTAAATAGTATAGTCTACAAATAACAAGGATTTGGACCACTCATCATCAGAGAGAGATAGTTTTGTTTTCTGCAGTTTTTTCTTTCATTGATAACACAATTTTTTTACACTTAAATTAGAAAGGATATAAATATTTTGATTAGGAGATTTAGAGTAATATTTGGGATTTTGAGATTTAAATTAATATTGTTTGTACCATTAATTTTGAAGGTTCACGTACGTAGAACAAAATTTTGAGAATCATTATATGAGATTTTGTTTATTGAAAACTTTTGAGTGTGAATTATTTCATTATTTTTATTTCAAATAT